TCCCTGGAAGCCCTTTTTTCCAGGGACAGAGAGATCCAAATCAAAGAGGAAAATAACTGGACAAACTCATTTATTATCACAATGTAATTATATAAACTGCAATTTCTGGAATACGTCTAGTAGAACTTGCTTTCTAATTCTAAAAGTTCAACATTATTTCAGCTGTGTAATAAAAACGTCATTGTTTATCTTTATCCCCAAGATGAACATTTTCAGACTTTATTAATAAGGATCTTTACTCCCTGAAGTTTACTTTGGCCTTATATTCTCCGAAATGGAATCATTTGAAGTGTCTGAGAAAATCTGAGGTTCTAACCACATCCCTGCATCCTACCTCCATGGAAAAGAAAATGGTCTTCTTTGTGGCAGTGGGAAGAAGAATATTAAAAGGTCCATGGTGCAGTATGGGGGCAAAACTAACAAGGGTATTAGAAGACCAAGATCCTAGTCAGTTTTTATACAGCTGCTATGAGTGGAATTATGTCCTTCCACCAAATTCATATGTTGGAGTCCTAACCCCCAGGACCTTAAAGGTGAGCTTCTTTTGGAGATAGGGTCTTTATGGAGGTGATCGAGTTAAAATGAGATCATGAGGGTGAGCCCTAATCCCATATGGCTGGTAGACTTCTAAGAAGGGGAAATTTGGACACAGACACACATAGTGGGGAAATGATGTGAATAAACACAGGGAGAAGATGAATATTGACAAGCCAAGGAGAGAGAAGACCTGGAACAGACCCTTCCTCCGGCCCTCGGAACGAACCAACCCTGCCAACACCTTGACTTTGGACTTCCAGCCTCCAGATCTGTGAGACAACACATTTCTGTTTCTTAAGCCACTCAGTTTGTGGTACTTTGTTACAGAGCCCTGACAAATGAATACAGCTGTGTTAGAGGCTAAGTCTTTTAGTATCTCTGGGTCTGAGTTTCCTCATCTATAGCATTAGGGGGTCAATGACCTTTGAAACTGCTTTTATGTCTAATGGACCAAGCCTGAAAATGGCCTCTCACCCATTCTCCTGATATGTCAGCATGCCTTATCTTCTGAGAAAAGTGTTCCCTCTTGTCTAGGATCAATGGGTTCTAGATAGGCTAACGCCATCTATATAAACCTATCTGGCCATCCTAATTTATATTTCAGTAATAACTTTTGGAAAGGGAAAAAGGAGGCTCAAAGTAACTCCTATGAGAGGCCACAAATTTAGCAGTTTATACCTTCCTACAAGAAATTCATCATTTGAAAAAGGAATTGCCGGGGGTGGTTCAGATGAAAAGACCAATAACATGTAAATTTCACAATCTGGTTCCCCGCGGCAGAACCTCTGTAAGGTAAACAAAGTGCACGCTTTGTGCTCTCTTGACAACCCATTTCTGGGGGTCCTCTCTCCCGCTCTCTCTTTCTCCCTAGTGTTTATCATGAAAGAAAATCTGTTTCAGGCACAACCACTGAACTTCTGGGTGCTGCTAACCTATCCCATCTCACCCATAAGACACTTACTAACAATGCAACATTTATCAACCTCTCATCAGCATGTATCATCTTGGTACAAACCCCAGGCTATTAATGCACCTTCAAAGCCTGGAATACAGTGCTAATGCCAGAATCATCATTGGTAAGAAGAGCATTTTGGCAACTGAAATTGCAATTCCAAGTGCTGTGAAACAGAACTGACATTTTAGTTCCCCTCCTCATTACCTTACTGAATGTATATTCCCTTGCCAGAGGAAATACAAGGATAAGCATTCTCTTCTATGATACGATCTCATCATTGCTAAGAAGCAAGGATGGAGCGTCCTTCTTAAGAAAAGCAGCTGGCTATATCATATTAATATAGTAGCAGCAACTGCATTAAAACAAAAATCAACAAACTCGGCAAGCATCAATCCCACACATAAATGGACAGTGCTTGTGTAAGAAAGGGTCCTGATACGACAGAGTACTCAAATCAGGCTTATTAACTAAGGAACTTTTTACAAAAGCGTACTCAGGGTGAAATAAAACCAGAAATTATGGGCAATAATCTGGGGTTAGGGGCTGAACCACAGTATCCAACCCTAGGCACAAAGAGACAAGGAGGAGGAGTGGTTGGCAGAACCTGGAAAAAGAAAGCCTCATAGAGAACATAGCCTTGAAAAGAGTGGTGGTGTTCCGTCTAAGGACACTGCCCAAGGTGTCCCCACAAGGAGGGAGTCAGGGGTATAACTGCCCTGACCTCTCTCACCTCTCTCCCTTCAGTTTCCTACCGGGGCTCCCCATTGATCGAATCCAACCAGAGACGGGGGGGGGGGTCACGGATGTGGTCTGTAACGGTCAGCCTCTGAAGACCGGGGTGGACAGATCTGGAGGGGAAACTGGACAATATACAGCAGAGTGCTATATAACCCAACAAGTTCACTGAAATACTCATGCATTTTGTTAGAGCAGAAAACATCTCCTCTTGGTCACCATTTCATCCTCAGCTATGTCATTCCAACAACAATCAATTTTCCAATTGTCTGACACCAACTGTATGTCCAATAATTTAATGCGATGTTAACCCCCCCGAGTCAGCACAGACCCCACAAGTTAAGGGCTCGGTCACACTTTAGACACCCCAGCTGCAAATGGGGTCCCCAGGCAACTTTCACTTCTGCCTAGCCGACTATAAATCTGAAGGTTCTGGCAGCCATCACCCAGAGTCAGTAATTTGGTAGAGGAACTCACAACTCAGCAAAGGTCTCTACTTTCTCTTACAGTTTCATTATCAAGAATATAACTCAGGAACAGCCAAATGGAAGAGATGCACAGGGCAAGGTACAGCGGTAAGGAGGACACAGAGCTTCCATGCCCCTTTCGAGCGCGTCACCCTCCCAGCACAGCAATGTGTTCACCAATCTGGAAGCTTCATTATGTAGGCATGTTTTTTACTAAATGATTGGCCACTGGTGACCGAACTCCATCTCCAGCCCCTCTCTCCTCCCTGGAGGTTGGAAGTGGGACTGATAGTTCTCCTCCTCTAATCACATGGTTGGTTCCTCTGAAGACCAGCCCCCATCAAGGCATATTAGCCCTGAATGGACCTGTCTGTTTTTCTAAGTACCTTCGTCTTTAGTCACCCCATTAGAATACAAAAGACACTCCTATCACTGGAAATTCCAAGGATTTGATGTTGCCAGGAACCAGGACAGAGATTGAATATACTTTTTATCATGCCACACTAACACCGTGTACCACGATGCCTGGCACGTAACACCCATATTTGCTAATAAATGATGCAGTCTCCAGTGGGTCATTCTAGAGTTCTTTCTCCTTCCCATCCTTATTTTTAAACAATTAATCTGAATTTTTAAAGCCAAAACTATATGTGGCTTTAAGATCCTCCTTCACTTCTAGCTGGATAATCTAGAGAAGATAAGCTTTGGTTTCCAGAATCTTAGGGCACTTCACACCTCTGACATCCTAAGTGCAGGGAGACTCAAAGGAGACACATTCACAAGGATTTTTTAGAGATGGAACCCGAACCATTAATATACAATCTGCTGCAGTCTCCTCGGGGTTGTATTCCTTCTCGTCACCTTCACAACCAATGGATTCTGCTGCCCTAAATAGAAGTAGGAAGCAAGGGCTGGATATGTGCGGGCAGTGGTAGGCTATCTTTTGCTTATATAATATGTTGTACAACATACAACCAAAAGGACTTTATAATGTTCTGGATAGTTCCACAATGATATGAATCCAACCATATGCTTTTAAAATCCCAAGGTGATCAGCATTTTACATATCATAGGGAAAACTGAATCTCAACCTGGAGAAAACTTGAAACCAGGGATAAAGAAAATGCAGGATGTACTAGGATATTCTAAATCCATTAACAGAAAAAAAAATTGAAAAACAGACAGGTCCATTCAGGGCTAATATGCCTTGAAAATACGGTAGGCAACTGCAGTTTAAATGACGGTTGGAAGCCAAAGACTAATTGCTGGAGAGGGTGGGAAGAAAAGGGAACCCTCCTCCACTGCTGATGGGAATGTAATTTGGTGCAACCACTATGGAAAACAGTGCAGACATTCCTAAAATTACTAAAATTAGAGTTACCGCATGATCCAGCAATCCCACTCCTGGGCATAAGCCAAAGAAAATTCTAATTTGAAAAGATACATGTACCCTAATGTTCATAGCAGCATTATTTACAAGAGTCAAGACATGGAAGACATCTAAATGTCTACTGACAGATGACTGGATAAAGAAGATGTGATATACATACGTGCGTGCGTGAACACACACACACAGACACACACACACACACACCTGGAATACTACTCAGCCAATAAAAAAGAATGAAATAATGCCATTTGCAGCAACATGAATGGACCTAGAGATTATTATAGTAAGTGAAATAAGTCATACAGAGAAAGGAAAATACTATATTATATCACTTACATGTGGAATCTAAAAAAGTGATACAAATGAACTTATTTACAAAACAGAAAGAGACTCACAGACATAGAAAACAAACTTCTGGTTACTAAAGGGGAAAAGGGCGGTGGGGGAGGGGAGAATAAATTAGGAGTCTGAGATTAGCAGATACAAACTACTATACATAAAATAAAAAACAAGGTTCTAATGTATAGCACAGGGAGCTACAGTCAATATCTGTTAATAACCTATAATGAAGAATAATAGGTATGTGTGTGTGTGTATATATCTCTGAATCACTATGCTGTACACCAGAAACTAATACAACATTGTAAATCAACTATACTTCAATAAAAAAGTAAAATAAAAAAGAATCAGAAAAAAATGAGGGTTGGAGGAAGAGCTGAAGATTCTGTCCATCAGGAGAGCTAGCTGTCCATCTGGTACACTGTGAGGCTTCTCTAGAGCAATGGCCTTCTAATAGTAACAGATACGAGCCAACCTCTATGACCGAACTCTAAACTCTCAACCTAAACAATTATCTAACGGCTTGACTGGCTCTTTCGGAAAATATTTTCAGCCTGGTCACACACCCATGGCTCACCTTTCTGTGGAAGGGCGATAGATATCCTTCAACCTGAGTGAAAAATACAAAAGGGGGCTCCTGAACTTCCTCAGCTGAGTGTCCTCTCAGGTCAGTGCACCAGTGGCACATGTGACAGCTCCTTTGATCAGAAGCACACAGTATCATCATTTCAGGCACTGATCAGAAAGTGCATCCAAGAACAGATAGTGATCACTTATAAAAGCTTGCTAGAGACACCTGATATTGGCAAGAGATGCCTAAGGCAGCTGTTCTAAACCCAGTCGATCACTCTGAATGGCTTGTGGGGAAGGGAAGACGGGAACAGCCAGAGGTCATTTGAAAGAATGGCAGTGAGAGAGAACCGAGCAGACAGCTGGACCCACACAGGGTGGATGGAATCCTGTCTAGAGGTGGGGACCAAGTGTCTTTTTTAAGCTGCACTTGCCCCCTCCACAGCCCACCCATCATACCATGGAAGAGACACACTAATTTTCCTTTTCATTTCTCTAAACAGTCTTCACTGGGACTGGGGACTTTGGAATTACGTGGAGAGCTTTGTCAGCATCTACACGTGCGAGACCTTCCCTACCCATCCACCTGCCCAGCCCACCACTCTGACGAACCTTACGTGGTGACACTCTGTGCACTTTGCAAGAATGCTTAGGTCATTCTGATCCTCCCCTCCTCCCTTCATCCCTCTCCATCCCCAGCTGAGATCCACTAAACAGCAGTTCTCTATTATACTCAATTACTAGAAAGATATATATTTGGGTCACATATCTTAATTCTCTGCTGATATAACTTAATGGAATTAATATTTAACAATACACACTTGACTTAGATCAGAAATGCCTGATAGGGGTTATCTACTTGAGTTTTACATTGTCCTACCTTCTGGAAAATCAGTTTCAATCATCTGATATGTTATCCAACATTCATTACATAAACTTTCACAAAATTTTGTCAGACACGAGATGATCCTCCCAGCAGAACATGTCTGTGTCTTTCTAACAGATACTGATAATGAGATAAGGTAAAGCATGTACCCTGATGCCTCGACTGCTAGAAAACAAGCCTTTTTTTTTTTTTTAAAGCAGTAACTGTACATACTGGCGAAGAGCCTTAGAAATGGCTTGTAAGACAGTACTCTCTGATAGAATTTTCTGTAATAATAGAAATGTTCTATAAACTGTCCAATTCAGTAGCCAGTAGGCATATGTGGTGAGCACTTTAAATGTGACTAGTGTGACTGAGGAGTAAATTTTAAATACTATTTAATTTCAACTAATGTAAATTTGAATAGCCATGAGCAGCTAGTGGCTACACTAAACTTCATGGTTGTAAGGCCACTTTTTACATGTAAACACAGAGTTAATACATAAGCATAAGGAAGATGCTACAAAAATTTTATAGTAGTTTCAACTTAGGTGCAAATGCTATGTCTGAATTGTAAGATTGTCACTGGCTTTTAGTAATATTACTCAAAAGGACTTATGCCTTTCCAGGGTTGACAGTAGAAACTTGGCTGCTCTCAGCAAAAAGCTAGCTCAGGCCATCACTCTGGACGTGCCTTCTGGCTGGGCTGTTACGGGGGGGAACTGCTGGGATCTGATGGCGGAAGCCCTGAGCCTCCTCCTAGCGGAGCCACTGTAATGCATCTGAATGATGGTGGTGCCGGTTACCTTCTCTTCAGTTAGGGACCTTGCCCTGTTCCAGCCTCACCTGGTGAAGGGAGGGCAGGAGGTGGCTCTAAGGCTCTGTTAATTCACACCCGGAGAGTGTGTACTCCTTCCAGTGAAGGGGCCAGTGGGCTTGCAGGGTTTCTCAACCTCAGCATATTGATATGTTAGGGTTTCTAATTCTGTGCTGTGGGGACTATCCTGTGCATTGGGAGAGGCTGAGCAGCATCCCTGATCTCTGCCCACTGGCTGCCATGAGCATCCCCTGAACCCTCCCAGTGGTGCCAACCAAGGATTTCTGCAGATGCTGTCAGATACCCGCTGGGGGCAAAATCACCCCTGGTTGGGAACCACTGATCCAGACAGGTTTTGGACTATGGGCTACTTTAGCAAGGAGACCTATCTTAGTTTTTTTGTGTGTTTTTTAAAATCCCTAGTACCTAGCAGGTGCCTGATATGTGATAAATATTTAATTAAGCATTACTTGGATGAATGAATAAAAGGCCACTATTAGTTTTTAACTTTTTAAATATCTCCCCCAGTGCCTGGCATAGATAGTGTAAGACTCAATCAATCAATATTGCCTGGTTGGTTGAATATTCTTATAGGTTTTTTTTTAAAGGTAGGAATTCCTACTAATGACTATTTCTGAGGAAGAAAAAAGATGGAGAAAATAGATCTTTTTTCGTACCTTAATGGGCATGAAGGAATTTCCTGGCCTGTTAGGGTTCTTAGTAAAATGTGCACGTCTGAAAATACAGTCTCACCAGTTCCAAATTCAGGACCATAACTGCTTGTGTGCGAGGAAGCAGGGCTCCAACGCCTCCTGGCCTCTGTCTCCTCACCGAAGCTGGTCCGGGTGCGGGGTCAGTGGGAGCCCTTCCTCACTGACTGGTGGAGCCAGTCATCTCCAGCCCCAGACATGATTGATTCCCAGGAGCCCCTGCTGTCAGGCTCCCTGCACGAGAGAAAGATGGCTCGGGTCAGTTCTGAGGTCCTGAACCCTTCAGATGCGTTTGCCAGCACGTGATGCTTTTATCTCATTTGTCACAATCAGATACCAGAAATTGAGCCTACTATCTAATCAAAGCCAAACCTTTGCACCTAAAACTTGGTGGGTATTTTACCTGCATGTACATGTGACATAGCACTGCGGAGAGAAATCAAAGACATTGCTACCGTGTACAGATTTAAACCAGCGAAACATTTAGCATAGTTTCCCTTCACTCTCTGTTTACCTGAACGGTTTATGGCAGTTTAAGCTTCTTGGACAAGATATTTTATTGAATGGGAAATATCACTCTCTACATTCCTTCTTGCTGGCTGTACATTTAAAGAGCCGCTGCATTCAAACAACCAAAATCCTTAAGTCACACTGCTATTTTTATTACGGACAAGGTCAGAGCATTTGTGGTAATTAGAAAGGGAAAAGAAGAAAGAGGAGTTGGTTGTAAAAACCATCCAACAAATTAAATCAGAATCTCAGGCACTGCACATTATTTCAAGGAAAAGTTTTATTTTAGAACAGTTTTAGATTCACAGGAAATTGCGAAGATAGTAGAGATTTCCCATATACTGCATGCACACGTTTCTCCAATTATTAACACCTGACATTAATACCGTACTTTGTTACAATTAATGAACCAATATTGATACATTATTACTAACTAAAGTCCATAATTTTTCATATTTCCTCAGTTTTCCCCTAATTTCTTTTTTGTACTCCAGGATCCGATCTAGGACTTAATTCAGTCGTCATGTCTCCTTTGACTTGTCTTGGCTGTAACAGTTTCACAGACTTCCCTTGTTTTTGGTGACCATGACAGTTTTGAGGAGTACTGATGAGATATTTCATAGAATGTCCCTCAATTGGGATGTGTCTGCTGTTTTTCTCATGATCAGACTGGGGATCTGTGCTTTGGGGAAGAAGACCACAGAGATAAAGCCACTCTCTGTATCTGTATCAACAGGACATCACTGGATGGTGACCCTAATCATTTGGCTGAGAGAGTGTTGTCAGGTTTCTCCAGCATAAAGTCACTCTTTGCTCCTCTTTTTCAGACTGTAATCTTTTGAAAGGAGTCACTATGTTCAGCCTACATTTAAGAAATGAGGAATCATATTCCACTTCCTTGAGGGCGTAGTATCTATATAAAATTTTTAGAATTCTTTAATACAGAAAATGTGCCCATTTTCCTTCATTTATTTACTCAATAATTGATTCATATCAGTATGGACTCCTTTATTTTCCGCTTTGGGTTTCAATCCTACGTAATTTACTTATTTTGTTACTCCAGTGTTCCAGCTTTGGCCACTGGGAGCTCTTTCAGGTGGCTGTGTCCCTCGGACACATCCCCATCCCTGTGTCGCTGCTGTTGTTTTTCTAAGCACTTTCTTACTTTTTGGCACTAGAAGAGGCTTCATGCTCATCTTGTCTATTTTTTACCCTTGTCCTAATATCAGCCATTTATCAAAACAGGATGGCACTGGCACAAAAAGACAGACACAAAGATCAATGGAACAGAATAGAGAGCCCAGAAGTAAGCCCAGGCACTTACGGTGAATTTATCCATTAGAAAGGAGGCAAGAATATACAATGGAGAAAAGACAGTCTCTTCAATTAGTGGTGCTGGGAAAACTGGACAGCTATACTTAAAAAAATGAAATTAGAACATTCTCACTTCATATATAAAGATAAACTCAAAATGGATTAAAGACCTAACTGTAAGACCAGAAACCATAAAACTCCTAAAAGACAACATAGGCAGAATACTCTTTGACATATTTTTCTGTATCTGTTTCCTAAGGCAAAGGAAACAAAAGCAAAAATAAACAAATGGACTCTAATTAAACCTAAAAGCTTTTGCATAGCAAAGGAAACTACTGACAGAATGAAAAGTCAACCTACTGAAAGGGAGAAAATATTTGCAAATGATACAGCTGATGAGAGGTTAATATCTAAAATATATAAACAGTTCATATGACTCAATATCAAAAACAAACAAACAACCTGATTACAAAATGGGCAGAAGACCTGAGTAGACATTTTTCCAAAGAAGATATAGAGAAAATCACAAATAACAAATGTTGGCAAGGATAAGGAGAAAAGGGAACCCTCCTATACTGTTGGAGGGAATGAAAATTGGTGCAGCCACTGGGGAAAACAACATGGAGGTTCCTCAAAAACTAAAATTAGAATTACATATGATCCAGCAATTCCACTCCTGGATATATATCTGAATAAAATGAAAACATTAATTCAAAAAGATACACGCACCTCAATGTTCATAGCACCATTATTTACAATAGCCAAGATATGGAAGCAATCTAAGTCTCCATCAGCAGATGACTAGATAAAGAAGATGTGGTGTATATATACATACATATATCATACACACACACCACACACACACACACACACACACACACACACACAGAGAATGGAATACTACTCAGCCATAAAAAAGAATAAAATTATGCCATTTGCAATAACAGGGATGGACCTCGAGGGTACTATGCTTGGTGAAATAAGTTAGACAGACAAAGCCAAATATTGTATATGTTATCACTTATATGTGGAATCTAAAGAATAAAACAAACTAATGAATATAACAAAAAAAAGAAACAGACTCACAGATAGAACAAACTAGTGGTAACCAGTGGGGAGAAGGAAGCGGGGAGGGGCAAGATAGGGATATGGGATTAAGAGGTACAAACTACAATACATAATTAAATAAGCTACAAGGATATATTATATAGCACAAGGAATAGAGCCAACATTTTATAATAACTATAAGTAGAGTATAATCTATACAAATTTTGAATCACTATGTTGTACACCTGAAACTAATACAATATTGTAAATCAACTATACCTCAGTAAAAAAATAAAAAAGTACAGATGGGTTTTGGTGAAAGCAACTCCTTGGAAGAACCCAACGGAGGGATGACCATGTAGGAACTGACCAGTCAAAATGAGTTCCCTTTTCTCCACTTTAAATGCTTTCTTAACTGTTTTCATGGTACATTCTTTGACTACTTTATTCCAAACATTATGAAGGACTGGCAGAGTTATTATTATGAAATATCTCCCAATAGATGCATAAACATGCAAATATGGGTTATAGGCCAAAGTTCTGCTTCTCCTGGAAACTGGCTAACTAGACTAAAGAAATAAGCCTATTTGGCAATCTTTTTTAGAAGGAAGTGAGTCACGCTGAATCCATAGGAATTAATACTGGTCTATTTTTTAAACTATCTGGGGAAGGGATGAGTATTTACTTACTGCATGGAAACAATAATGAGAATAAATGGCACATATGATGAAAAAAAGGTGAAGAAAGTGCTGGGGTTTTTTAAAATAAAGCAATCAAGAAAGTGATCAAGTTCATTTTCTTTTGGAAGCAACAGTGGATCTTTTTATAACTATAGCTTTGTACTTTTAAAAGTTTGGATCATTGTTTTGGTACACCTTGACATAACTGAGATTACGAGGTAAAAAATACAAGCAGTCTAAAGATTTTGGTATAAATGTCTTCCTGTTTTCCCAAAACCCATCCTTCATTCTACAGAGCAAAAAATATATACACTGGTGAGCAAGCAAACCACAATGTAACTGAAGGCCAGAAAAGGTGAAAAGTGGGAAAAATAAAAGAACTGCATTTATCAAGTGTCTTTATGCTCCAGGTATGCTGGAAGTTGTACACATTTTAATTACTTAATCCTCGTGACAGTTTTATACCATTCGCACTTTATGGATGAGAACTGAGGTCTCAGAGAAGCCAAGCAACTTGCCACAAAGCATACAGTTCACATGGCAGGACCAGGAAGTCGAATGTGCCTCAAATCTAAGCAGTCCAGCCCCATCCCAAAAGTCTTTGTATCATAATGCTCTGACTCTTTCATTTCTGAAAAGGAGAAAGAGCATGAGGAATTTTTAAATTTCCCCCAAATACCCCTAAAGTTCTTAAATATTTTGTAAACTGAATCCTAAATTCTGCTCATTTTCTTGTATGGATATCCTAAGAATCTCGGCACTGCCTCCTTGAGCGGCTCCGAAAGAAAACCATCTTTCACTTCTTGCAAGACGCAGACAGGTGCATTTTCACAACGACCTCCCCAAGACAGTAACCCGGCACTCGCATCTCCCCGGGAGTCATCTGTGAATCCCAGAGCCCTCCATTCCTGCTCTCAGAAGATGTGTCCGCCCAGCAGTCGTGGCAATAATGAGACTGGGCCACGGCGCAACAGACACTGCTGACTCACAGGACAGCAGGGCCAGCTCTGGCCGTGCCTCTCCCTCTTGCTGCAAACGTTAAGCCCAACCAAATCCGTCACAATCAAACCGATGATAAAACTCACGGAAAGGAGAATGTCAAGGGGTCAGAAGTGGCTGCGGAACCCCCCGAGGACCCAATTAAAAACTGGGGTTTTCTAGCTTCCTTGTGACAAGTATTTCTGTGCCCGTGCCCCCCCCGCATTTCCCTGAGGAGAGGCGATGAGCCGTAAACCAAGAGTGGGAAACGCTGCTCCAAGAAAGGAATTTACATAATTTACAGGCCGCAAAGCAACTGAGGAGTAAATAAAGAGACTCCACGAGAAAACAACCGTCTGTCATGTAAAATAGGATGCGACGGGGAAATGGTGACTTAAATTTTAGAGGTTTTATTCCTAAGAGAGATGT